AAGAACTCATGGCACATGGACAATAGTGTGATGAATGTGGATGGGGTGAGGAATGGGAATTGGAGGTAGAAAGACATGGAAGAGGGTATAGGAGGGATAAATGGTGATGGACAGAGACAACTTGAGGTGGTAAACACCCAATACAGGGTACAGATTATGTGTTGAAGAATTGTGCACCTGAAACCTGAATATTCTGTTAATCACTGTCACCCCCCAAAAAAAATTTAATAAAAAGGGGGGGGGGGGAAATATACTATAAAATATACTTATTCACAATGAAAAATTCTCATATTACAATAATAGTAAAAAGCAGATAAAAACATGGATGTGCCATTTCTTCACCATTAGGCTGTTTATACATATAGAAAAGTGTTTAACATCAAAATGTTAGTAGTTTTCTCTGGGTGGTGGAGCTGCGGGGGAAAGTGCATAAAAAATGGTTTTCCAAAGAGTAAACCATTCACTGAACACGAGTTCTTTGCTTACTGACTCTGTGCCACACTCCAGCTGTCCCCATTTGTCCTGCTGACCAGCCCTCCACCAGGGCACCGCCAGGCTTTCATCACCAACAGCCCTCAGCATGCCTAGGTCACAGCACAGCGGTCTCCTCGCTTCACCGTTTCTCTTTTTCGAAACCTGCATGGAGATTCTCACTAAATTATTCCTCTAGATGAACTTAAAACAAGTTTGGGGTTTTTAAGTTCCTTTGGGATTTAAAGGAACTGAAGAAGATGTAAATTAATAAAAACTAAGTGTTTCTATCCAAAGTATCTGGTAGGCCTTAAGCAAGATCTCATCCAGGCCCAGTACATATTCATTGTTGGTGATCCCAAGATACTTTATTACTTTTGTTGCCATTATGAGATCTATCCACTGGCTCAGTCACCATTCTGATCTCAGCTATTCTCATTTCCCTGTTGGAGGAAAATGAAGAAACCTCTACCTGCTCTTTTTGTCCCTAACTCCCCCGCCCCCCACCAGAAAAGCAGCTGGAACCATCCCTTAAAAATATCACATCACCTTTTTAATTATGCCTCTAATGTTTTCCCATCTGACTCTGAGTGAAAGCCAAATGACAGTGACCTTGAAGCCCTCAACAGCCTGGCCTCCCACCAGCTTTTTACTTCCCAAAGCTTTCCCCTAAGTGGCTTTGCCAACAAACGCCTTTCCACTGACACTCTCAGGAGCTCAACCAGAGTCCTTCGCCCCAATCCGCCAATGTGCTCCCTTCTTCACCTCCTGCATGTGTTGCCTTCCTGGAGAAGCCTCTGTCTACCTTTTTAAAACTGGAAACCATCACCGGTCCCTTTCCTTGTTTTGTTCACATTTATCACACGATTTACTGTTTTATCAAATGCTCCATCCCCACCCCACCTCCAATCAGAATGCAAGCAGTGGTATCTGTTGTTTCAGACACGCATCAGGTAAATTTATCTGAAGGAAGGTATCCCCGTCTCATTTTTTCAGCCAAGGTTTATGTCTCCTCCATTCAGGTTCTACAGTTGTGAAATTTCCTCCTGGATATTTTCTAATTTTTGTTGCTATTGTAAGGTATTTTCTCCATTGCATTTCCTAATTAGCTACTGCTGTCATACAGGACACTCCAGATGGATATACATTTGTTTTATAACTGGCCACTTAAATATATTTTAATTGCTAATCATTTTCCAATAAGCAATCAAATCATTTTTAAGTTATTTTATGTCTCTTTATTATGGTTCTTATGCTTCTTTCTTGCTTTATTGCAATACAAGAATCCCCAGAACAAAATTAAATACCAAAGGTAATAATGGTAACCAAAGTAATTCTTGCATGTATTTAGAATGCCTCTGTTAACTCTCCATTAAGTATGATTTTTAACTCTTCATTTGGCTACAGAACTTTATATACTCTATTTCCATCAGTAATGGATATCAATTTTTAAAAAATACAGAATCTGTTGAGAAAAATAATAAAGTTCTTGACCGACCTATGATAAACCCAGTAGCAACATTAAATTGTCCTTAAGCTAGACTAAACCTCACTGTTCAGATGTTCAGAATATGAGGTTAAATACACTGAGTGGCCAGATTATTATGATCTCTGAACACATAATAATCTGGCCACTCAGTGTATTTGTATCTCAAATGGGTACCAAAAGTATTCTAGACTTTTGTTGGAGATCAACTACCAATTTGCCCTGAGCTTTCTATCAGCCAGTGCATGATTTATAGTATCTTTCATATCAAATAAATGAGGTAGTCAAGAGAAGTACACTGAGTGGCCAGATTATTATGCGTTCAGAGATCATAATAATCTGGCCACTCAGTGTATACTGCCAGACCCTATGTGTTTTGAGAACATTTCCATCATCAATCTACAGGTCCCCTTTTGGGGAGTATCTTTGTCAGGCTTTGGAATCCAGATCATGGGGTGTTCCCTATTTTCCACAAAAGTTCTAGAACAGTGACTACTATAATGTTTCATGGACAAGTAGAAGCTGTATAACCAATGGCAAGCATGAGATTCCAAAATATTAACTTCATCCACAGTTATTGGTCATCTTTAATAATGATGATTTCTGTTTTCCTGAAAAATATGCATTTTGTTCAAGCACTCCAATTTATTGTCATAGAGTTTATACAATATTCAGTTATTTTCCATTGAATCTTTATTATTTTGTGAAATTTAATTATGCCTTTTTTTTTCTTGGTAAAACTGCTCAGAAATAGAAAATGACAAGTTACAAGCTGTAACCACATACGATTTTTTGTTTGACGCACACAGAATGATTTTTTAAAATATGAATAGATCATATTTTAGCATCAAAATCCGGATTTCTGATTCTTCTTAGATTTGTTCTTCTTCCATCTGTCTTGAAATCAGCTTATTCCACTTAGTTTCCTTTCTCTTATTTAACAGGAAGGCACCCACAGGCATAAACTCGCAGCTGGCTTCTGCCACATCCCCTATCAGTTTTTACTTTCATCCTTAACAAGTGGCTTGTAAGATTCAAAGTGCTTTAAGCATTTTACCTTATTATCTCACTTTACCCCCACAAGAATCCAATATAGCTGCTTTTATTATCATTTTACAAGGGAAAAAACTGAAGCACAGAGAAGCTGCTTGCTCAAGAATTCCAACTTTTAACCACATGCCTATCTATCTTTTCTATGAATATTTGTAATTAGCTTTTACGTCTTCTTTAACCCAAGTGTTGGGTAGGTTTTCTTTTGCTTTTCAAGTAATTTTTACTTTCTATTTTACCACAGTATGGTCAAAAACGTATAGTCAGGCTGGGGGTTTGTGCTTAAAGACTTTGTAATGCTTTTCTTAATGGCCAAATTCAGTTTAATTTCTATAAATATTCCATAGTCATGGAGTATGATCTATTGAATCAACTTTACTACTCCCATTGTAAATATCTTTCAGATCTTTTTCCATATGATCTGCAAATAATGAATTAAATTAACCAATTTGGATGTTGCTAGGTTTTTATTTATCCAACTCTAGATTTCCATCAGTTTTTACTTTCTATTGTTTGATATTGTAAGCCTTCACATAAATATTCACATAAATGGTCACAAGTCTTCTAGTATATGTGAAGAGCAACCAAAACAGAGACAATCTTCTCTGCCTAAGTGCTCATCTTTAAACTGTGTGCTTGCAATGCTAGTAGCATTAACCCTGCTTTGTGATTTTTGCTTGTTTTTCTTTTATTTTCTTATCCTAATTTTAACCTTCCTAGATATTTCCGCCCAGCAAGTTCCTCTTCTAGACAAGACATAGTTGGGATTTTGTTCTGTGACTCAGTAAAAAAAAAGTTAGAGGTACTCTGGCCAGTAGGATTCAGCTGGTTGAGAATCATCCCGTGCACGGAAAAGTTACCAGATCAATTAATTCCTAGTCAGGACAAATGCCAAGTTGTAGGTTCCATCCCAGTCAGTGTGTGTTCGGAGGCAACCAATCAATGTTTCTCTCTCACAGATGTTTCTTTCTCTCTCTTCCTCTCTCTCTAAAAGTCAATTAAAAATATATTTTTTAAAAGTCAGGGGAATCACACTTTTACTTGTAAATGAGGGTGACTCCCAACATTGCTGTTTACTATCTCTTCCAGTAAGTACTATATTTTCTTTCTTTTCCCCTGCCCTTAAAGAGTAGAGAGATATAATTTACAGTTCTGAAACTGGTTACATTTTTTAAAGTGTAATTGCTAACTATTGGCTCCAAGAATAAAGTTTCTCTCTATTTTTTATTCTTGGTTTCTTTTGAGGATTAAATACTGAACATTTAAAAAAAATGGCACAATTTTATTTTCCACGCTCAATAGCATACCCATGGGAAGGATCTTAGATTTTAGACCCTGTATCTTATTTTTCAAAACATTTCAGATTGCACATTTTCTAAGAACTGGTATATGCACATTAGTACAGACAAATGAAGTCCTATGTTTAAATTACTTAAATCCACTAACAGTCCTGTTTTCCTGTAACTATATCATAACCCCTTTGTCACAATCACAAAATGTCTGTTTTGTCCCCTGGTAGCAAAGATCAACGAGCACACCCAGAGCCCAGACCTCAGTTTCTCTATCACTCTCCAATAAAGGAACAAGGCTCCTTGGAGAGTGGCAGACTTGAGGACTGAGTTAAGGATAATATAAGATAAGCCTGACAGGACCAAAAAGTAAGATGTCTCACCAAAACCACAAGGATGGAGACACGTCAAAAAGACACAAGAATCCAACCAAAATAACATCTAGTAGCCAAAGCTGGAAAAATTTGAGCAGAAAAATAAATATAGATAATATTGTAATTATTGTAATATTGTAAAGATTATAATACAATATTATTATAATATTGTAATAGTTATAATACAACTAGAGGCCCAATGCACAAAATTTGTGCAAGGGGCTCAGCCCTCACAACAGTGGTAGCTGCCTCGGCCCTCGCAGTCCCAGCTTTGTCTGGAAGGTCGTCCAGAAGGACGTCCAGCTGTCTGATCTAATTAGCACATTATGCTTTTATTATTATAGATATTGATAACCTAAAGGATAAATACCTTTGCATCCATAACTAACTAGATAAATGATCGAATTAAGTAGATAAATGGGAGAGAAGAGATAGTTCTTCCTTATAGAAGAATTCTAATTAATTAATGTACAAGAAATGAAGGAAACAGAAAATCACCTTAAGAACACCAGAGTAATAAGACAAGGCAAGTCCACCCTTGAGTGCTGAATTATTAAGAGCCTGAAAGAGAAAAAAGTTATCTGCACAGTGTAGGGGAATGGATTAACCTTGCCCAAAATGAAATATGGTCGTTATTCAAGATTCCAGGAATGAATCTCAAGGCCCTTGAATGTCCTGCCTGGAAAGTAAGTTTACCTGGGGCCCTGGCCACTCCAGATAGTCTAACAATATGACTTAAGGTGGAGGCCTTGGGGCCCTGATGAATGGCTGGAGAGTACGACTCAGGTGAACTGTCCTGAGTTCACCTGCTTGGCAATACCGTGTGTTGTCACACAGTGGGAGAAGCAGCACTGTCCACAACTCCAGGGAAAGGCTAACTGGAAGCTTCACTATAGAAAATCCCCTGCATCCTGCTCTATTCCCTTGGCTGACTTTATTCTGTATCCTTTCACTGCAATAAACCATAACCGTGAGTTCTGAGTCCTCTTAGAAAATAACTGAACCTAAAGTGGTATTGGAGACCATCAAACTTGCAGTTGGGTATACGAAGTGAGGGTGATCTTACAGACCCTTGAGATTTGCACACCATCTCAAAATGTCTACCTCAAAATAAATATTTATTAATTACAAAGGAAAAATAATAATTTCATAATGGGAAAATCTGGCAACAATACCTTAATCCAGTGACAAAGGTTATCACAACCTGTAACAATATGTAATTACATGTACCTCGATATGATGCAATAAGAACAACTCATTTTTTTGTTCCAAAGGTTCCATAATTTTAGTCAAATCAAGAAAAAACATTAGACAGACCCAATGGTGGGACATTTCAGACTAAGGGACAAACACTCTTCACAGGCACCATGAAAGTCAAAGAAGGGCTGAGGAACAAACACAGATAGGAACTATGGCACTGTGACAACCAAATGCAACGTGGGATCACAAACGAGATCCTGGAACAGAAGAGACACTGGTGGGAAACTGGGCAAATCCAAATAAAGCCTGCAGTCTATGATCAGAGTTAGGTAAATGTGCTGTCACTATGGAAGAAGCTAATATGAGGGGATGCTGGGTAAACAGTACCACAAATGGAGGACACAAATAGGTACAATACATAATAGTGCCAAGAGGGAAGCATTTTCTGCAAACTAAAATTCTATCAAAATAAAATGTCAGAAGAGAGAAACACAGTCCCAAGGGTTTTGGAAAAGGGAATGTGGGCCTATATTTACATTTCTCTTTCAGAAGAGTGCTTTGCAACGACAGTATGTAGGTAGCAAAATGTGAGCCTTTGAACTTAAAGAAAATTCTTCTACTATCTTCACATATGAAGGCTAAATACTTGGCAGGTTCCAGATTTCTATTTCCCATAAAAGTCTATAGAGTGTTTAAAGCACTTTGACTACTATTATAAGATGATAAGAAACCAGCTCATTATTTTGAAAACTGACAAACAGAAAGATTTAGACATTTATCCTGACTTTCCTGTATGAACTATATCAGGATTAAAAAAAAAAAAAAACTGATGAGAAGTTGCTCTTTACAGAAGTATTCTAACTAGAAATGAGAAAGGAAAGACAGAATATCATCTTTCTGCAATCTCTAATAGATCCAGTCACTGACCATCAACAGCTGCTAACGACACAGGACAGACCACCTGAGGCCAAGGCCCCTGGAACAGGCCCCACTAAAAGAGTTCTGCTAACCCCCAGCCTACCCTAAGAATCAAACTTCAACCAGATCAAGCCTATTGATGTAATTACTAATTTATAGGAAACATAAAAGACTACACTACACTAAATACAATCAGCAAACTCCACACTGGCCAGATTCTTCAACAAATACACAGGAGAGAGAGAAAAGAAGAAACCTATAGATGTAAAAGAAACTTAAGAAACATGTCAATCCATAATAACATATGAGCCTTACTTAGATTCTGATTCAAAGTTATAAAAACATTTATGGGATTTGAGACAAAAGTTGAATACTTGCTACATATTTATGATAAGAAAATCGTGTTAATTTTTAATGAAGCAATGATAGTATGATTAATAGGTAGCTATTTTTATTCAGTGTCCCTGAAAAGATATAAAAGATAATGCTGAAATATATAAAAATGTAAAACCACATGTATAATGCTGCTTCAAAATAATGCAATGGATATAACATGTATTATAGTCCTAAATGTTCATAGTATATTTTTTTCCTTTAAACTGAGATTACCTATCGGATTAAGTAAATTAGTATTTGGTTTTCATCATCAACTTTACCTAATATGCACTGAACTGATCAATAGGAAGTTATTATTTTAAAGAAAAAGCCTTATGTTAATAAGTACAGAAAGACATAAAATTATATTGCTAATCCTACAAACCTCCTGATGTTTTATAAATACATTTTAGATAAATATAAAAGACAAATTAAATATAAAAAAGTAATATTAAAAAGAATTCACCTTTACAAAAGAATTTACCATAGCTTCCTTTAAGCACTACATCTCACTATTCCACTTTTAGGAAGAATGGACAAATAGATACATGAGGCCACAAACTACTAGCAGGTCTTGTTGGGTCCACTTAGTGTTATTCAAAAATTCAAAAAGTTGCTGACGTTTTAAAATTAGATTTCAACATAACTCTGAACTGAGTGCCCGTGACGCCCCCGCCACCCAGGGCCCGGCTCTGTGGACAGCAGCAGCGGTCCTCAGGGTTTTCTCCACACTGAGCTCAGAGGCCAGCAGCCGTTTAGCATCAGATTTCTATCTCTACTTTTCTGACACCCGGTCTGCTTTGCTCTTTCCTTTGCAGCCTACCAGGTAACAACCACTCATTTTCACTCACTTTTTTTTTTTTAGGTAAATAAAATATGTCCACATTGATGCTGAGAATTTTGCTAGTAACTTTTTTTTCACTTAAATTCACATAAAACTAAGGAGTTGATGAAAAGGCATTTTGTACATAAAAGTAACAAAAAAACACAGAACACACTCATTCTGTGTGTTTCTTCTGTCCCTAATTAAGCCCCAACGTAACGCTCGGAACCCTCACTCCCCAGCTCTGCAGCACACACAGCCTCACCTGCATTGCTCCCAGTTCCTTTCTGCTTTTTTTTCTTGGCTAGTTGAATGGCTCTGGAATCAGTTCTTGCTGAGCCCCCACTTTCCTGAGATCAAAGAAATGTGTGTCAGTCACTTGGCCCAAACAGCAACGGGAGGGTTAGCAAAGGAGCTACTGAGATGTAGTAAGTGTGCTTCCTAAACAGAGTGGAGTCCAATACTCTGAGAATCTCCAGCAAAGGCTCACTGAGAATCAAATGCTACATCCAATTATAATGATAGCTACACAAAATCAGAGTTGGAACAACATACATAATTTTATTATCCAGAGAAGCAAAGTTTATTCCTCCAAAGTCTAAAATACTAAAATATTTTATACAGAAACTGTTTTAAAAAAAATGAATTACATACTTCTCTGCTGTCTGAAACAAATAACCACCCTTCTTTCAGTGATAATTCACTGCATTAATTCAGTCCAACATTTTTCAGAGCCTACCACACAATACTTGTATGGCAGATCTGGGGAAGTCCTTCCATAGACCCACTGCAGAGGCCACTCTGGCGGCAGGTTCTCAACTCAAAACCTTACATACCAAAATAATAATTAGTTACTGAATTTTGTAAGATTACTGAGGGAGCCAAATAGTATTTAAATAGGACTTCAACTGTTGTAAATCTGTGAATGTTTTTGTAAGAGAAAGTTTGTACTTATCACTAGATAAAGAAAAAGAACACCCCTAAACAGCTCATGGCATACCTGTAACCCATTCACCACACACCATCTGTGCTCAGAGAATCGAGGCAGCCCGTCACACAGCTAGCGAGAAAATGAACAAGGGTCAGGTTCATGGTCATGGTGGCTCCTCCTACCTCCACCCACAGTTAGGCCTCTGAGGATGCAGTGGCACCAGAGAACAACTGTTTCCCAAGGCACCAAGGCCCTGCACTCAGGTAGTGACTCCCCACGCCATCGGCCATTCTGGCCCAGGCACCTGCACACCTGGCAACTGCTGCAGCCACCAAAGCAGAGGTCAGCACATGTTGCTATGCCCCCACTAGTGAGACACCAGAAGAGGCTTGACAGACAGAGATGGTCAGACTCAGACATAAAAAGCTGGCTCTATGATATAAGTTCATCACATCCCTCAAAAGTGATCTTATTTCAAAGGATTAAACTTTTTGTTAAAAATGTGATAAAATAAAGATTTAACATTTTGAACAATATCATCAAATTTAATCTGTGTCACAGAGAAAAAACCTATTTGATCATTCCCATCTGAGCCTGAGGAAAATGTCAGCCTCAAAGAACCTTTAAATTATTTTTAAATTAAATTATATTAAATGTATAGCTGACAGATATGATGATATTCACTGTCAAGCTTCAATACTGGAGAACTACTCATAACCCTCCAAACAAAGGTTCACAAACCACTCCCTTTTCCCTCAATTCTAGTGTTGTTTTGTTTTGAATGATTTTTAAGTTTTCATTAAAATTTGAAAGGCAGATGATGTCATGACTCCTCTTCCTCTGGTTATTAGTAAGTTTTAGGACTTGTTTTATGTGAAGAGCACAAAGGCAGAATATTTCAACATTATGAAATACTCCCAATTTTTTCAAGAAAAGAAACATATCACACAAAAAATTCAAAAGGACCTTAGAAATCATCTAGCCAATCCCCCTCATTTTAGAAATGAGAATTTAAGGCTAAAAACTAATCAGTTCAGACTCAGGATCAGAATTCAGATTTCCAAACTTGTTAGTCCAGGGCTCCATCCTTTCACAAAGTGTAAGAAATGTCTACACATAAATAATTCATCCAGATCATCCTCAAAATTGAGTGAAGTAAGCTAGGCGGCAGTGACTGAATACAGCACATCATACCAAAGAGAAGCTGCCAGTCCCTGCACTGAGGCCCGAGTCTTTCTGAGGACTGTGCCTTTCTCGAAGGCCGGAAAACACAGGCCAAGATACCTCTCTGTTTCGTTCTTGCTGCCTGACAGCACCAGGGCCAGGAGGCGAGTCTGGTTCCACTTTGATTGAAGTCAGCAGTTCGGGGACACTGGTGTTTCCTGGTGGGGTGCTTGGAGAGGTCAGTGTGGTGGTGTTCGCTGGTAAACTGCTGCCGGAGGTCAACGCCTGTGGGTCCTGACTCAAGTTCTTCACAGGCAGAGCTACCAGACAGCCTAATGCTCCTGCACTTACAGTCTGCACGTCATCCATATTGAAGTTGCTTTGCTGAAGAACAGTGGCTGCTGTCCCAAGAACAAGAGGGCTGTCCAGGCTTGGAGGAATGTCATTGTGGGCCACCAAGACCAGTGGGTCCATGGGCCCTAAGGAACTATTATTAGGGAGGTTCCCTCTGAGAGAGGAGCTCACAGAAGTCACATCTATAGTCAGGATTCCAGAGGTCAGCGCCTCGTCCGAGGCCCCCGCTGCACCACTCCCATCAGCAGGTGCATCAGAGAAGAGTGCGGCCAGGTCAATGTTGTTGAGCTCATTTTGGCCTGGGCTGCTTAGTTCACTGCTGAGTGGAAGAGAACTCGGAGCTCCTAGCTGAGGAAAGTGATCTGAAAAGGAATGAGTGCACTAGTTACTACATGCCCTTAAAGATTAAGAAGTTTTATTTGTACTCAAGATGTTAAGCCACCCATTAAAGGCACCATATACAGTACTGCCTTCCTCCTGCCCCTGCTACGTGGCACATCGAAAGTGGCCACAGGCTGAAAGGCGGCAACGTGATGACATCAGACATTTTACATATGTTGTCTCAAATCCTCAAACTGACAGGGATTTTTCCAGACAGAGGAAGTGACACAAGAGTCTAAATAACATTTTCTAAAGTCACATTGGTAATAGGACTTGAACCATGTCATTCTCGCTTTAAATCCTGTACTCCTTCTGCTATACCACAATCACTACACCTGAAAAGATTAAAACTTTCCATGGCACACCAATCTTCAAAAGTCAGATACAAGGTGAATTCTGGTGCTGAGGATATTTTTGGAATTAGCTTGTATCAGCTCATTCCTCATCAAACTGTATGTTTCACTCAACTAGCTGCCACTCCAAAACAAATTTGAGTCATCTGGGGGTGAACAGTGGTGAAAAATTAGGTCTGTGGGACCCAGCTCTAGGGAGCTGCAGAGAACTGTGACTAGGTCCCCCAGGCACTCTGGAGGTCAATTTCCTTCCCCTTCCACCATTGTATTCCCAACCTCTAATACTCCTGCCATGATCATTCTGAGGGTGCAGAGTCTGTCCGACCATCTTTGTCCCTCAATACTAGGCACAGTGCCTGACCCTAATGCAGCATTATAAATTATAGTACAAACAATTCCAGTAGATCCCTCTTCATTTTGTCTTATGTACTGGGCCAATACTATAATTATTTGTTAGCTAATTAAGTAACTAAAATGATGGGAACACCCTTGGGGAATAATGAACATTACCATAATTTAAAAAAATTTCAATGAATATTCAAATTGGGGGTTTATGCACAAGTACACCAAATCATCCCAAATCCGAAAACAAACAAGGACCTGATGTTATTCTTTCTTAAGAAATTCCTGCCTGCAGCTTCTAGAATGGCCAGGGCCCAGCCAGAGGGAAAAGGCTATCAGTTCCTGGATCTATTCCTTCCACCCCAACCATTAAGCTAATCCCAAACTTATATTTTCTGGTTGTGGACACCACGTCAGCATGCCTATTATATTTTTCATGCAAACCTATGAAAGAATCTATTCTAGACATCCGCACCCAAAATAAATTTCAAATAACCAAATTTGGAATATACTTTCTTTAGTTGTCAAATAGGAACAATATATTATTGCTTCTTCATTAATTATCTCTTAGTACCAATGAAACATTTGAAAGAAAATGGTAGTGGTTCTTTGGAGAAATTATAAAATAAAAACTCTCTCTCTCAAAACTTTCCAAAAAACCCCTTGACAATCTTGAGAATTCAGCTCCCTATGAAACGATTATTAATAATCTCAATGCAAATAAGATACCAATTTGTTCACAAATTTTCCACTTAGCATTTTATTAATTCCACATTACTGGAGACCTGCTATGTGTAAGAGCCAGGTATTTTTTAAAAATCACTAAATAAACATTAATTAATAGAACATGTAGCCTAAGGTTATAATCATGACCTTGCTCCAGTCTTTCTTTGCCCAGGTGACCCAGGCAAATCCTTCTTATTTCCACCTCAGCCTTCTGTCAGTGGCAGAGTGAGGAGGAACCCCCAATCTCAGGACCACTGTGAGGAGGAACTCAACAGCAAATCCTGGGGCTGCCATAGCCCTGGCAAAGTCAGTCCATACTATATAGGCGTTCCAAAGCATTTATTTCTCACACCTGGCATCTACCCCTAACTTGTGACAGGGAATAATGACACACTATTAAGTCAATGTCACATCATAAATGCGGAGTGTGGAATAAAGGCACTACAGAAGCACCTGAGAGGTTCTCACCCCCAGAGAGAAAACAGTGCCGTTGCTGACTTTTGAATGAGCCAGGCTAGGAAAAGGGAAGGAGCAAAGAGGCCAGGCGCATGGTATCACAGAACAACAGCTCAGAGCTGGGCAGGTAGAGACAGAGACAGGAACCTGATCCATCACTGAGGGCCTCTGAACACCAGCATGTGACTAACTTCTGTGAGCCAAGGAGACAGCCTCTAACATGAATCCTCAAGACACCTAGTCTAGAAGGGCAGCTTCTTTGAATGCAAAGCTGAATAGCAATCACTGTTACAGCCAAAAGAGGGAAGAAGTGACCGTTAAACAGGATTAAAAGAAGCCAAAGGACACAAACATTCACTGAACTATTCATCAAGCTCTGCATTTAAAAGATGAGGAAACCAGGGCTGGCAGACCTGTGCCCTGCCTAGGATCACACAGCTGGGAAGTTGGCTGCACCCCAAGGCTGGTGCTACGTGTCACCCAGGTGGCAATGAGCAGGGCCTGGTTAACATGCTCAGGTAACTCTATGGCTAGCCAAGATTTCACTGGCTAGACACAGCAAACCGCTTCCCCCTACTCCTCCACCCTCCACCCCCCGCCACACACACACATGCCCCAAAGAGCAGGGTGATGTGAGCAGGGGAGACAGCCATGTGGCAACCCAGACCCCTCAACATCCTAACTGTAGGACTATGCAGGATTCTAAGTTCCATGCCACCATGTAGCCAGATAAAAAAGCCCTCGTGTGCCCAGACACCCCCTCTGGAGAACTGTCGTGGTTCCCGCTCAGCCCTCACACCCCTGCCTCAGCCACATCCTGAAACAAAACTCTGTTCTTGTTTTCAAGGACTTTCCTCAGCAGCAGTATGGAGAAGAGTCAGAGGGTGTGCTCAGAAAGAACAGGACTTAGAAAAAGGATCCAAAGACAGAAATGATGGAGAAGCAGGCTTAGAACTTAGGACAGAGATCACAGGAAGATATAGATTTTGGAGACATATGCAGGAAAAGCCAGAAACATGGAATATTGAACACTCTTCAAGGTAAGCACTTCAGACAAGGATTAGAGAAGCAGAGCAAGTGGCAGCAGAGTCCATGCTCCCTGGGCTGATAAGACCTCACTGCACTATACTTAGCCTAGGACTCGCCAACTTCTGAAAGGAGCTAAGGATGGAATGATACCTTTTTGCTTCTCTGAACAGGTCAAGCTTACACATCTTTGTAGCTCCCTAAGAGGGACATAAATCAAGCCAACCTGGGTGCCGGCTGTGCTGCCTGACCACATGTGCTTTCATACTGTGCTTGGAGGTAAAGAGTCTATTACAGCTGGACACGGGGCAACGGCTTTTTGGAGCAACCACGTCTTGCAGGTGTTTCTTGGAGTGAATGTAGAGACTGCTACGAGCGGAGAACCTGGCACAGCACCCTGGAACAAAACAAATGATAAGTGTTAAGTCTATAGGTTATCAAGGAACCAATGCTGACATTTCCTTGTCATCTATCTATATATATATAAAAGCATGAGCAGCCATTATGACCAGTCGCTATAACATGCACTGACCACCAGGGGGCAGACGCTCAAGGTAGGAGTTGCCCCCTGGTGGTCAGTGCGCTCCCACAGCCAACCTCTCCCAGCGGGTCAACCTACAGTGGTCCCTCCCCACAAGCTAGCCCCACAGGCCCTGAGGCCGAGGGACCCCACCCATGCATGAATTTGTATACCAGGCCTCTAGTATCAAAATAATGAGACAATGCATGGCCATGTGTTAGCCACAAGGAAGGGGCATACACTGAATACCTCTTGGAGCAGCATCATAAGAAATTAAATTTGAAAGCAAACTCTATTTTAAAAAAGAGATTTGAAGTTTCACATCATTTGTATATAAGATGTGTGACCCTGAACAAGTTAACTCTAAGCTTGTTTGTTGACCCATTACCCAGGGCTGCTGGAAAAATTAAGTGAAATTAAGTGTTAAACAACTCCTTTAATGTTCAAGTGCTAAAAAATTTGTACATCTCTATCAAGCTACAACTATTAAAACCACCATAATTCTATGACATTTAAGGTTAGAAGCAACCTCAACAGATCTCCACTATTCCTATCAGTTTACCAAATTAATGCCCAGAGGGACCAAGCAAATGGCCCTAAGTCAGGAATATAAACTGAGCCTGGAACTGGCACTGCCTTGACTACTCAACTGCTTAACCAGTAGGTAAGAGCACAAACCTGCATACAGGATAGACGAAAAACAAGAAGATTCAAAAATGCCCTGATTTTCCACTGTTGGAGCTCTACACCAAGGTCTTCTCACAGCCTTAACAAAGAAAACACAAACCTGCTCACTGGATGGGTTCTTGGCAGCTTATGACCTGGCAGGGACATGTAGACAACCAGCTGTCCTCACAGCCACCAAATTAAACAGGTAACTAACTAGAGCCACAGATCTAATAAGTACCCTGCAGGGACAACAGTCAAAACAGGTCTGATTTTGAAGTCTGTTCTTTCCAATACAATGCTCCCAAGATACAACAATTAATTAAAACCAAGTAAATCTAATGCTACAACTTACACTCACCTTGCCCTTAGGCAACTAAAACGAACCTTTAAACAACTAAAAATTACAACATCGATGTGGATATGGTGCTAGTTGACAGCTCAAAGTAATGTATTAAAATCTACCTTCCACAGGGCACTCAAACGGCTTTGTGCCCAGGTGGGTGATGCTGTGGCCTTTTAGATGCTCTGCTCTCGTGAATGACTTCCCACAGCCTTCGACGGGGCAGATAAACCTCCGATCGTCATCGTGTTTCCTGCCAGGACAGAAAAACATGACACGAATTACTCACACAGCCCAGAAGCCCCAGGCTTCAAAATGATTCTTTGTTTAAAATTCTGCAAAATAAACCAAACTACAACTTTGCATTTAAAAAAAAACTTTTATCAGTACATTTCAGAGAACCTTAATTGTGTCTCTAACCCACATGGACAGATTTGCAATTTAGCCACCCTTTAATTAGAAATTCTACTTTACTCTAATGACCTAGCCGACCCCAGAGTCAGACACAGAAAAATCTAGAAAGAGCTGAGTCTCAATGTACTGATAAAGCTACCTCCACTGTTTAGGAATCCCAATAATAAAAAGCTTCCCAATCCACAGAGGGCAACAAGAAGTGTGCATAAGATCCACTAAAAGGCAAAAGGACCTTCTCAAGCCCATGCATAAACACTGCCTCTTTCTGAGTAACATTTGTATATTAAACACTCAAACTCCAGCTATGTAAGCATGGACAAACTGCCCACCCTTTTGAGTCCCACTGCAAAACAGAGAGTAAGAACATCAGAGTCAAAGTTCTTGGGAAGATTACATGAAATACACAGAAGTGCTGAGCAGCACCTTCTTATAGGCTAAGCCTTCCAAGGCCGTCATTATCACCATGGAAAGTTGGTATTGACAGGAGGAAAGCTTATTCCACACCATAATTTTCTTAAAAATACAGAATTGTACATAACAGGTACCAATTAAATTTAAAAACAAGTACACACAGGAAAAAAAAAAAACACAACTGACTTTGGGTAATCAGGATGCTCAGCAGTTTCCTTCTTAAAACTTTCTGAATTTGCCAAATTATCTACATTGTCAAATTATCTTTAAGTTTCCTTATAACTTAAAGAAATCTGAGATAGTTTATCCATAAGCGTCTACTACTAAGAAATTCATTCATTCATTTTCAAAACTTATAATTCAACCAAAATGTATAGATTACCTTTTGTGCCTCAGGAGTTTAGACATGCTGGTAAAGGTCCAGCCACAACTGTCAGAGTCACAAATAAAAGGTCTTTCACCTTAGAAAAGAAAAAGTTACAACATGTCACTATAAATGGCACGCTACCACAAAGACAGATCTTGGTTCCAAATGACTTTGCATTCCCTAGCTCATTACCTGTATGACTTCTCAGGTGAATTTTCAGGCGACAGGCTTTGTCATACTGTTTGCTGCAACCAGGAAAGGAGCAGGAAAAGAGCTCCTGCTCTCTGAAGTGGGCTCGGTTGTGGGAAAACAGAGCACTCACCGTGATGAAGGTCTTCTCACAGCCTGAACGAAGAAAACACAAACCTGCTCACTGGTGTGGCAAAAATCAGAAGACAGCTACACTAGCCACCATCCAGGACACTGCTGGCACTGAAGCAGACGAGGGAAAAAATGATTCAGAAGCACCTCTGGAAAGTTACTACCACTGACACCTGGCTTTGTAGTAGCTAAACTAGGGCTGGCTAGCACACGAAAGACACCTGTTTAAAATGACTTAGAGATGAAGGATCTGATCAAGGGAAAGTCCTCCAATCACAGCCCTCCATCTACTCCACTCTGTGGCACAGGTCTTGCATACATTTTGTGAACGCAAAGGTCAGTGCTGTTGGTGTGAAATCCAAAAAAATCCAATTAGATACTAAGGAACAAGATTTTGTCTATTAGGGTTGGGCTTGGAAGGGCCACAAACCATCATAATATCTGAGACTTTTAAGCCCTTGGGGTGATGCTGCATCCTCTACACATAAATGTCCTCCCTGATATTCTCTGCAACAGGGACCTGGCTTCTCTTTTTCCTTTTGCCCATTTCCTCAAGGCTCCCTACTTTGCCAAAGGTGGTTACTGGGGTCATCTTCATTCACATGGTCTTTCCCATTATCTCCATCCTCAGCCCCCAGTTAAGCCACCAACCAATGGAGCCGGTCTGAGCAGACTTTCCACACAATTGTTATCCTTTGACAAAAACATCCAGTGCTCAAATAGGTGGAAAATATCAGGCTGCAAGGTGCTGACTGAGTGTCTCCATAGCAGCTCTCTGAAGAGCCTTTAACATGCCACCACAGTGCCTGTAACCCGCCCCGCAGGTACACACTGCACAGCACCACACAAAGTACCGGCCCACAGAACCCTGTCCCCGGCAACACTGACCTGGGAAAATGGGCCTCTCTAAGTGCCCTAAACCATCCTCTTCGCCATGACTCTACTCCCCTGCCAGGCCTTTCCCTGTCTGGGGCTTTGGTCAGATAAATCCAAGCATGCCTACACAGAACAAAACCACATCTACAAACCAGCCCTCTATTCTGACTCTGCATGTGGAGCCCCCTCACCATCCCCAATGCCACTGCCTCTGCCAAGGTCAGCCCTAAGCAAATTCAATCTGGAACATTTCTCGGGACTTCACTGATCCCTCTCCTGCTTCTACCCCATCTCAAACATTGACACCACACAGATCATCTAGCTCAGTGTTTCCCAAAGTGTGGTACACGTACCCCTAGGGGTATGGGAAGAGTTTGGTGGGGGTACGCACTGCACCGTGCTTAGCTGCACCTAATTCTACGTTCTCATGAGTACGAGGGGTACTCAGCGTTATGAAAATTATAGAAAGGGTACACGTATGTCAAAAGTTTGGGAAACACTGATCTAGCTCAAAACTACAGGAAGACCTCAGGCCCTACAACAGGCTAGATCCCTGATTTTCCTAGTATTATACTCAGAATCATGCTCTCTGTGCAGTCTTTAAGCCACGGTCCGATTCCCAGAGTGTATGACAGAAAAGGGTTTCCAATCAGTGGCCTGAAGCCATGTCCTCCACGAAGAGGGCCACATGAAACAACCTACAGCACATGGGAAGGGAACTCTGGAACATGTTGGCATTTTGCATTTCACTCTTTCAAGCTCTCTATACTTGAGTATATTTTATATTTTATTGTGTATCAGGAGAGCATCAAATGTATATAGCATGTCAACACACACGTGGGACTCCCGTGAGGTGCATGCTTGCCTTTTTGTTTTAATGAGTTGGTGGTGGAAGGACCTTCACCATCTGGTTGACCCTCCCACACCCTCCCAACAGCCCACAAGCCCTGCGTGGGCTCTGCAGACCCTCTGCTCCCCCGTCCCCAACTCCCCCTGCAAAGGCCTCTTACCCAATTCCCCAAGCCAACTCCTAGCCAGGAGGGAGCCTTCTCCTCTCTGGGGCGCTCGCGCTCTCGCGCGCGCGCGCGCGCGCTCTCTCTCTCTCTCTCTCTCTCTCTCTCTCTCTCTCTCTCTCTCTCTCTAAGCACCTACACCAGCCTACCAGGGAAAGAATGCCTGGTATGGAAGCCTTATCTCCCCACCGCTGCAGGCCATGGCAGTGGACAAAGAACCATCCCTGGATTTCTTTCCCCCATTGCTGGGCCTCAGTCACTTCATCGGCCACAAGAGGACAATTTTGAGAACTTGACAAACTGTGGAGTCCAAAGAATAAGTATAAAAAGCACAGACTGTGGGCGCCTCACCATCTTAAGGCCTTCCATCTGGACGCCCCACCAGCATCAGAGGAGTGAATGTTTCCAAAGGAGATGGAGGAAAACAAAGGCCTGTCTCATAACAAAACTCTGGGAAGATACGTTCTTTCTCTCACTAACCAGAAGCACCTTCAGGGGGATCTGCTGCCACCGCCACGGGGAAGGGCAACCGTGATTATTTGGTCGCAATCCCCAGGGTTCAGGTGCCCTGGGAAGAACTAGGACACACACACCAAACACAGGAGCTTCCGTGTCCCCGCCCCTCGTGCCTGGCCCACCGAGTGTAAACCCTGCCCAGCCCAGCCCCGCCCCGCCACCACACCCACTCGGAGCCACTGGATGATGTGGCCCTGGGGGGCACCCTCAAACCCCCCGCCCCCCGCAGCCGCCCGCAGGCCCTGCGTTACCGGGAAAGTCACACTTGTAGGGCCGCTCGGGCTCGAAGTGGCTGCGCTGGTGCGCGCTGAGCTTGGCCTGCGTGGGGAAGCGGTCCTCGCACACGTCGCAGCGGAACGAGCTCTCCTGCTCGTGGCCCTTCATGTGCGCCTTGAGGTTGTACACGGTGGTGAAGCTCTTGCCGCAGCCGGGCGCCGGGCAGCCGAAGGGCCGCAGCTTGTCGTGCGACTGCAGGTGCCGCTTGAGCTTGTAGGAGGTGGTGAAGGCCCAGCCGCAGCCGTCCAGCGGGCACTTGAAGGGCCGCCGGCCCTGGCTGCCGCCGTGCGTCAGCAGGTGCACTTTCAGCTGGTGCTTCTTGGCGAAGGCGAGCGAGCACTGCGGCTCGGGGCAGCGGTAGCCCAGCGCGCCCGGCCCCGGGGCCCCGCGGCGGCCCTCGGCCGGGCTCGCGGCCTCCTCCCGCGGCTGCGCGGGCGGTGGGCCCGGGGCCGGCGGACCCCCCTGGGGCGGCGGCGGCGGCGGCGGCGGGCCGGGGGGCGGCGGCGGCGACTGCGAGGCCAGCGTGAGGACGCCGCGGTCCAGGCGCACCATCAAGTCCTGGCCGCCGACGGCCACGGTGTCCCCGGGGGCCGCGCCGGGGCCGGGGGCGGCGCCGCGGGAGCCCTGCAGGGGCCGGCCGGCAGGACCCGCGTCGGCGCCGGGCTCAGCCTCCCGCCGCCCGGAGGCCTCGGTCGCGGCGCCGCGCGGCACCTCCAGAAGCACCACGAAAGAGCCGTCGTCGTCGTCGTCGTCGTCGTCGTCGTCGAGGGGCGGCGGGCTCGGCCCGGGACCTGCCGCTGCCGCCGCTCCGGCCTCCCCTCGCCGCGGCGCCGCCCCGCCATCTTCGGAGCCCCGCAGCAGCAGCAGGCGGCGGCGCGCGGGGCCCGGGCCGGGGGTCGGGCCTGGGCCTCGGCGGAGCCGGCCGGGGCCGCCGCCATGTTGGGCCCCGCGCGGGGTCGGGGTGGCCAGCAGCGCCGGGAGATCCATCTTGGACCCTGCAGGGGCGTCGCAGCCGCCGCCGCTCGGAGGAAGCGCGGTCCGCCCCGCCCAGGCGTGCGCGACGCCGTGCGGCTGCTGCTTCGGGGAGTCCGCGGCGCCAAAGCCCGGCGCCGAGCAGCCCGAGCGCGCGTGCGCGTGCGCGTGAGCCGCGGGGCGGGGCGTGCGGGCCGCTGGCGCGTGACGTCAGGGACACCCCCTGCGCGGCCCCCGGGGAGCTGGGCTGGTCCTCAGCCTCCCAGCTGTGGTTTGAGTGCTTGCAGGGGAACGAGGCTAGCCTGACTCACAGCAATAATCCCTTTTCGTCTGGGGAACCCTATAAAGGGAAAGGCTAATACTCAAATTGACTAAGCGGTGGAACTACCTGTGGCTATGATGCGCACTGACCACCAGGGGGCAGGCGCTCAATGCAGGAGCTGCCCCCTAGTGGTCAGTGCGCCATTCAGACAGAAGCCCTGAATCAGACTCAGGGCTGGCAAGCGCAGGGGCATGGCAGGATGTCTGACTGATGGCTTAGGCCCGCTCCCAGGGAGAGCAGGCCTAAACCTCAGTTAGACATCCCCCAAGGGCTCTCGGACTGGGAGAGGGCTCAGGCCAGACTGAAGGGACTTCCACCCCTGAGTGCACGATTTTCGTGCACTGGGCCTCTAGTGGGTTAATAATTGGGGAGGGATCAAGTAGGACACCCAGGTGTGCCCTCACCGGGAATTGAACCGTGACCTCCTGGTTCATGGATCCACGCCTAGCCCACTTGGCCACACTGGCCCGGCTCACCCCCTTTTTCTTGTCTCATTGATTAAGCTGTGACATCTCATCTCATCTTCCTTGCTCTGGAACTAGGATTTACACAATCAGCTTCCCTGGTTCGGAGGCCTTCAGACTCAGACTGAATCACTTCAATGGCTTTCCTGGGTTTCCAACTTCCAGATGGGACTGCCATGTTATATTTATCATTGAGCTCTATCTATAAATATCTATATAATTATATATGTATATATAGATATATCCCCTATTGGTTCTGTTTCTCTGGAGAAACCAATACAAACTTAGATTCAAGTCCCAACAGAAATCATGCAGGTGACACATATGTGTAAGAAATCAGCTGCTATGTCCAAGAACAGACAAGCAAACTTGGCCTTGCTATTGGAGTACAGTAGGAAATAGTAGGGACTGTAGCAAATCGGAGAAAAACAGGCCCAGGCCCAAGGGGCCTCCAGCTGATCGCTGTCACTGAGGCAGTGAGGGTACAGTGTCGCCTGATCTATTCATTCGATCAAGTAAATGCAAAGTCTGAAGTTTTAAGTGAAATATCCCAATTTGTAACAATTGGTGAATATATATATATATATATATATATATATATATATGTGTGTGTGTGTGTGTGTGTGTGTGTGTATATATATATATATATATATATATATATATATATATAATTTTTTTTTTTTTTAAGGGCAGGCCAAACAAAATGCAACTGCAAGTCAAGTTTTGTCCCCAGCCCCAGATAGGAATCTATTCTGGAAGGCTAAGGGCAAGAGAGCATACCTCTCAGCCAAGACCCCCTCAACTGGCCTGGGCTGACCAGCAAGTAAAGGACCTGCTTCCCAGGGAGCTCCATGTTCACAGGAAGCAGAGATTTCCTAGGGAGAGAATTTCCAAGGCAACTAAAACCTACACCCATTATAGCCAATTTGTTTCTATTTTAATTGTTTTGTTGTTTTTTGTTAATCCACACCTGAAGATGTTTTTGTTATTGATAAAATGGAGTCCTTTAGAGAGAGTGGAAGGCAGGGAGGGAGGGAGGGAGGGGGAGAGAGAGAAACATCCATGTGAGAGAGACGCATCAGTTGGTTGCCCAGGGCACACACCTGGATCAAACCTGCAACCCGGGTTCCTACCCTTGTCTAGGAATCAAACCATTTGGTTTCTGGGCCAACGCTCCAACCACTGAGCAATGTGCCAAGGCGTGATAAAACATTTCTAAGTGGACTACACATTTCTGCTATTAAAAAAAAAAAAAAAAAAAAGTTCACAGCTGAAAGCTTTTGGAAAGGAAGGGTTTATTGAGCCATATGTTAGCCAGAAAAGGGGCTGCCACGTCCTGGGTATGCAATTTAAACCACCAGTAGCAGGACAAGATGGGGAAGACGAACATAGCTCCTCTCCTGTAGCTGACCGGGCTCTTTTACAGAAGGATTGTTTTGAAAGGATTTACATCGGCTATAGACAAGGGTTGGGGGGACAGGAAAGGGTGAAGCAGGGACAGTTCAGGGAAAGGTGCACAGTTCATAAGGGGAAAAGATTTACTACTTTTGATTGATTGTGGGCAACAGTCCAGAAAGTTCCTGCATAAGCAGAATGAAGCGGCATCTGATGGTCAGCTGTTTCTTTTTAGACAGCCACCTGGAAGTTGATTCAAAGCTCCAGCAACATCCAGCGATACAAGCAGGCTTTTGTTAGTTGGCCCACAGCTATTCACTGGTTAATTACCCTTGCCTCTGTACCAAACTATAATTTAATTTAGGACTCAGAATATTTTTTTTTCTTGTCACTACTTTCTTAAAAATAAGACGGAACTGGACACGTTGGGCATCCGTGCTGTTCTAACCACTCCATGGTTACTGAGGCCGTGGTCAGTTGCCCTAAACCCCCACTGAGCCCCATCGTGGCCGAATTCTGGATGTCAGTAGTCTCTTCTCCCTGCTGGCAGCGGGCAGCAGGTTGATGAGCTTGTGCCCAGCAAAGTAGCCTGCTCCCTGGCATGGCTTGGTATGGGACCAAGAAGGGTTCCCGAGGCCTTTGCATGTGGGTAGAAGCCATCTTTGAACTTGGCCCAAAGCTGGTCATCAAGCTCTACCTGTCCTTAATAAGAGAAGGTTCTGGGAGGGGAAGAAAGGGCCTGGTCTTAAAATCGAACATATCTTCTCCGTGTTTCCCTAGGGACAGGGAATGCTCGGGCAGCTGTAGGAGCCAGGGTGCTTTCCAAGGAGACTTGTTGACAGACGCTATGCTGGTTTAGATGCTGTGCTCGCTGTGTGGAACCAAAGCCCTGCTGGGAGGGGCAGACCCGTGCTGGAGTGGCAGCTCCGTGTGCTGCTAAGAGCACAGGTCCCTGGGCCTCCCCACGTGCACCCTATCTATGCCTCTGTGGACCTCATGGTCGCAGAAGGGTTGCTGCCCGTCAGCATCACACCCGAGGTTCTAGCAGGGAAAAGGGGCAAAGGCAAAAAGCAACCCAGCCTTATCGCTACATTTTTATTGGAAAAACAACACCTTTCCCATAAGTCCTACCTGCCAGAATTCTACCCTATTTCATAGTCCAGAACTAGGCCAGAGGTCACTCACTCCCAGTTGCAAGAAAAACTGGAAAATCAACTATTTTCACTGGGTCTGTTGCTGCCCAAACAAAACTGGGGTTCTGTAAGACTGAAAACTCAGAATCCGGCCAGGCTGGCTCCCTCTCTGCAGACATGGAAGAAAAGATTTCTGTGGCTTTTTGGAAACCCATCCCCCAGTCTCTTTCTTAATTCTTTGTTTAGGATGAGCCATTTTTAAGTCTGTAATGGGCCCAACAGGGGGCTAAGCTAAGGCTAGAAACTAATGAGAATAAGGTACGTGGTCAAAGCTGCTCTGCTTAGCATGGCAAGGTCACAGGGGTCTCCTGGTGTAGAGAGCCAGCAAGCCCAGTGATGCCAAGGGGGCTGCCTGATGCCCTGCATGGCCCTGGGTGTTTACAGTAAAGGGAGCAGGTCCTGATTACCAGTCTGCGGGGCAGGAAGGATGAAAGAAGAGGAGCAGGGAACTCCTCTCTCCACTTTGCTTCTTTTTGTAATTGGGGGAATAAAGCAGAACCACCACCCCTTTAAAGAAAAAAAAAACACCTGCTCCAAAATGAAGGCCTGAAGAAGCATGGTCACATGATCCCCTCTGCCTGGGTCATCTTCATTGAGGCTGGGCTCTGGGGTCTGGCACGGGCGGGTGAAGCCAGCCTCAGGTCCCACACTGCTCCTACAGGACATCTGCTCCCAAACGGGCCTCCTGAGCAGACTTCTGTCATAAGGGATCAGCCATGGGTAGTACCCCTGCTCTCTCCTTTTTCCCCCCAATGAAGCATCACTAACCTTTAGGGCAGAGCTCTGCCAGCCCTCATCCCACCACCCTGCATCCACCCGCCCACACCACGGTCCATAGCTCTCTAGACAATCCTTTATTCTCCTACCTTCCTCCCTGGACACCTCCAAGCCCAGGGCCTGGTGAATGTTCCTTTGTGCCCAAAGCTGGGGCAAGGGGGTACAGGAAGTACCTGGCTAGACAAATGAACAGGCTAGCCGATGGAAAGAGAGCTGGGTGGATGGCTGGAAGGTGGGCAAGAGACAGACGGTGGTTGATTAAAAACCTGCCCATAGGAAAGCCCGCCCCTTGGTAGGAAAAGGAATGACAAGAGGCTGAGAAGGGGACAGCAATAGCCCACCCTCCAGGATGCTGTGAGGCCAAATGAGGATGTGGGTGTGCAGCGAAAGACGTGGTGTGGCTGTGGGGATGAGGACGGGGACCGAGGGGGACAGGGGGCCGTGGCAGCTCTCCGTGCTCATTTCCGCAGGGCCTGCTGGAGCATGTGCTCGTCCACCACCCGGTGTGGCAGTGTCACCACCAAGCCCTTGTTCTCCAGCATCGTCTCGCAGATGATCTCATAGGCCTTCTGGTTCCCAGACCAACAGCGGCGGGCCACCTGTCAAGGAGCGCGGAGGGCTGTGCTGTGGCTGGTGCCAGCATCACCGGGTTCCCAGCAAGGCATTCTGGATACACTGGGGCTGCGCTCAAATCCCCTGGAGGACGCTCTGTACTGTCTGTGGGGTCAGTCTGTCCCTGCCCTGCCCGAGGCTCAACCTCCTCCTCCTCTCTTGACCACATTATCACTTACCTGCCTCTCTGATCTGAAACCAGCTAGCCTTCTGCCCTGCCTCACAGCTCCGTGCAGGGGCACAGGCCAGACTCCCAGGAGTCATCCTCAGCTTCCCTCCTCTCCGGCCTCATAGATGGACACCCACCTTGGATCAGCCTTAAAATCTCTCTCCATCCACTTCCTCCTCCCATCTCCATCATCAGGGCTCCCTGGATGACT